GAGCGGCGGAAAAGAAAAGGTTAGAAGCGTTCGAAATGTGGTGTTATAGGCGGATGATGAGGATATCGTGGGTAGAAAAGGTTAGAAATGAAGAGGTATTAGAAAGAATAGGAGAACAGAGGACTCTATGGAAGTCAATAAGAAATAGGCGAGATAGGTTGGTAGGACACCTTCTCAGGCATGAAGGGCTAGTTAGAAACATATTAGAGGCAAAAGCAGGAATTAAGAAGAGTAGAGGTAGACCTAGATTAGATTACTGTTCGCAAAAGAATGTGAGATGTTCTAGTTTTGGGGAAATGCGAAGATTAGCTCAAGATAGGAAAGAGTGGAGGGATGCGTGTTCGACCAATCTTAGGACTGACGACCTTATGATAACGATGTATATTCAAAACCTATCAAACCTAATAATGAACTCAACGCTGGGCAGAGTTTCATTGCTTTCTGCTTGATAATGTGCTTCCAGTACTTTCAGGGCTTAAAGCCCTCTAATTCAAGCCCTTACATGAAGAAGTATTTGAGGCTTAATAACCAAATTACTTGTAATTTGTAATTCAAGGAGTTTTCAAGCTGCTTTAAAGTACTTTGTTATTTGAATGAGTGTAATTCCTTTTGAAGTAATTGGTAATTCAAAATCCTTGTTAAAATATAATTGGAACACCAAGGGCTTTTGGTTGGGGCTTTGCCCAGATCTGGTAAAATCCTTATCGTTTTCCTTTAAATTTAAAACAATGCTATTAGTCGTGCCTTTCCTCATATCTAAGTTCAAGATGTTTCAAAAATCAGCAATGTCTCTTGAAGTAAAAAACCTTTATTTCGAAAAAAAAACACTTTTTTTAGCAGAAAGACCCAATACCAAATATTCAGCTATTAATTCGTTCATGTGAGTTCTCGAGCAGTGCTTTCCTGTGCGTCACTCAATCTTTAATGTTTGAAAATCGGAAAAAAATAGCATTTATAGATAACCCTGTGTTTTTTTTACATGCAGGAAACTCTAAAACAATTTCTCTTAAATTGCAATGAAGCTTCAGCATATGTAATGCCTACTAGGTACTTTCAAATACTTTAATATCGTCATTATTTTCCAGTTGAAACTTTTTTCAATAGAAAGTTTATCCGTTTCTCTTGTATATTCTTTCCGTTTCATTTTTTTAAATCATTGATATTGAATTTCTTAAAAAATACATTAACCTTTTCTCATTTATTTTCAGAAAACAGAAGAAAGGTCAGTTCCGATCGCCGTTAGAATACACAAGACGTTAGAATTAGCCGACGACAAATTCTACGTGATTACGTGCGGCAAGGCCGGTTTTCGTAATGCGAAAAACGAAACTTCGCTAGTGTCTCTCAGGCTAATCGAGGACGAGAAAAAAGTCATCCAAACGGTTTACGGCCGCCCATACACTCTACGGGCGGAAATATCGAAACCGGACGGCACCTACGGATTCAAAGTCCGGTCCTGCTTTGCATTCGATAAATTGAACAGTAGCGTGCCTCTGATCGATGACAAGGGATGCCCGATTAACAGGGACGTCATCGGGCCCTTCAGTTATGACGAGGCCAAAGGGGAAGCAAACGCACAACTTACTTCGATGTTCAAGTTCCCTAATAGTTCGGAAGTTCACTTTCAGGTAAGAACAAAAATACTATTCTTCGATAATAAACTTTGGAAATCGATAGGACTCCGGTAGGTTCTGATAGGAAAGTGGGTTTCGGTTGATTCTAATGAAACTTTAAGAAAATGTTCATGATTAAAAGTCTCAATGGCCACTACTCCTAAAAAAATCTGTAGTTTTTGAGGCAAACTTTTTTAGCATGTTCTAGTTTCTGTAAAGTCGACTAAAACCAATTTTCTACAATTGCGAGGTTCTTTCAGTCTCTGGGACCTTTCATAAAACACGTCGCAAATAAGGGAAAGGGGGCACTGGTTAGTGTGGCAAAATATGACAAAGGGGGTTGGGGATCTAAGGATCATCAATGTTATTTTTATTTTTTTCTTAACTTGACAATTCTTAAAATTTTTCATTACGATAGGAAGTCATTGTCATTGCTATTTTTAATCGCAAGAAATTGTTTACTTATTATAACATTTGTTAGGGGTAGGAACGCTAAAAATGTGACTTAGCCTAATGATGATGTTGAATTTGATAAATTTAACCTCAATCCGATCTCACGTGTTGTTATTCGCCGGTTCACATCAACTAATGCCTTTATCGCGGCTTTATCAGCTTCAACCGGCCTTCCCGAACGTGGTACATCTTCGATATCAAAATTTGGTCGAAATTTAGCGAACCAGTTCTGGCACTGGCGTACTGTCAACACACCTTCTCCATACACATCAGTCAATTTCTTTCTGGCTTGAACAGCATTTTTACCCTTTCTGTANAAGTAATCTATATTGAATGGATTTAAGGTATTCCATGTGTAATAGTTTCATTTCAAAATTAGTTTTGGTGCAAAAAAATAAACGTGGGTGTTAATTAATGAAATAAACTTCAATTTTGACACATTACACTTTTAAAATAAAAGAAAGAAAGGCACAACCAATTTTGGTGTTAATTTTCAACTCATTATAATTTGATCATTAAGTAGATTCTGACTACGATTTTTCCCAATATTAAATTTTTGTGTAAATGGTTTTTTTTACTCTAAATCACTATTTAATTTAAGTGTGTGTCTTTTATTTCTGTAAAACATTTTAATAGGTCGTAAAATCCCACAAAATCGGTTAATAATTATACCAATACCTAATTTACCTTATCTACGCGGTGGTAATGTATAATATTCCGATAATCAAACCCATGCTAAAAAATGTCACCTCGGACAACAGGTTCTTAATGTTAATTCTTTGGTTCTTCGAGAACAGTTTCCAGTATCTTTTGTAAATAATAAAAAAAAGAGTAAATATTGGCCTTTTGATGTCTGCATTTTTTTCTAAACGAAAACCCAAACTTAATTAACTACCAGGGGTCTACAACCTTTTCTTGTCGTATCTATACATATCGTGAATATCCCATACTACACTTCTGTAGTTTGTACAGTGCTCGGCAAAAGAATAGAGTACAGTTCGTTAAACCCTCGTTCGGTCTACAGACTTTACCTTAGGTGTCGAATTTCTGGAAGTTTTATTAATTGTAAACCACTCGAGAAAGGTCCTAGGTTAATATTTTTCGTAAACGGCAATTTTTTATCTTGAATGCACGTATAAGGGATGTAATGGTGAGTAGCGGTCGCAACCTACCCTATTTAGTCATCATCGTAAAAAAGCTGTGTAATTAGTTTTCTTAAAATATTTTCGTAACCGCGAGTTTATATATATAGTCATATAAGTCAAAAAAAAAATCTGAAAGTAGTATTTCATGAAAAATTTGAAACCACTTTTTCAAATTTTCTGGCTGAATAGAATCTTTATTATTAAATTATTACTATAGATTTATTAAATTAACTGCAGAAAAGGCTTGTATAATTTTTTTATGAAGGGTATTCCCCCTTTCACAAAATGGCAGCTAGATGTGATGTTGTAAATAAATGATGAAAATACATATAGAAACAGAAAGGGTAGTTATAAGGGGCAGATATAGACCAAAATTCATTATATTAGGGTTAGCTCAACCTAGTTGAAGTGTTCAGATATTTACATCATTTATAAATTACATGTTGAAAAAGAAATTTCGTGATTTTTAAACGAATTTAAGTATGTGCATCGGAGACAAAAATTGTCAGTCTCTCTAAGTCTTTCAGAGTCATTCGGCGTCTCTGAGAGCGTCTTTCACAGTTATTGCCTAGGTGTTTTTATGGATTTCTCACAGTCTCTGTATGAGAGACTCGAACGATAAAATTGTTAATTCAGAGATTCGAGTCTCTCACAGAGAGACTGAATGAATAAAACTGAAAAATTGAAAGACTCGAGTCTCTCGTAGAAAGACTGGGATCTTTGAAATATGTTGAACTTAGAAAATTTTAACCACGTCTATCGAGACACCACTTATTGAGAGATTCGAGTCTCTCGTTTAGAGACGCTAAACAGTTTTCTTGACAGTCTCTCTCATCGACACCAGAGGGACTCGATGAGAGACGGAGATTCGAGTCTCGCTTTTAGAGACTCTGAGAGACTGAACATTTTTATCTCGGACAGTGTCTTAGTCGCTTACTGTATCTACCAGGCAAGTTCTACAAACTGTCCAATTTATCACCGTGCAGTCGTTCGCTATAATGCCTGATTTAAATTCATATTCACGCATAATTAAGTATTATAATCCGATGTAAAATTTAAAACTCGAGGACCGTTATGTGCACACTATCTGAGCCACCTTTCGTCTTGTTAATACATACGAACATACGCGGAGAAGTGAAACTTCATTCCTAGACATAGACCGCACCCAATTATTTATTGATCGATTTATATTATTACTTCCATGGCAATGATATCACTCTTTGTCTCATATCTTGACACATGACACGTCCAATTTAAATTATTACCTGTAACATGTACAGGGTGTTTGTTGATTGCATGTCTACATTTCGAAAATTATTACATGTGTTCTTCATATTATTAGACGTTTTACTAACGCAAATTAAAAGGATTACGGCTCTCCAACAACGAATGCTACTAACAAAAATTTAACGTCTATATTCTCCTTTCTTTCATCTAATATTTAATCAGTTGATAAGTCAAAACCAGCAGGGGTTAAAAGTTGTTTTATTTATTAAAAAACAACAGCTAACGTCTCGCCCTCAACTGTTGGGCTTTCTCAATGCTAGTTTTGAAAGTCAAAAAGAGATGTCTTATTAACACTCATCAGCACGCCGCAGGCAGTGTCGTTCAATTACTAAACCAAGCAAAGAACTACTACATTATCATAACTGCCTGTATTTGAAACTTTCACTATACTGTCATGGAGATCATTAAATGTTCTGTTTGGAGAAACGAGATCATTAAATATTCTGTTTGGAGAAACGACGATGCTAATATCTATATCAAAGATGCAGAAAACATTGAAATTTAAAGCTATAATACCAAAAACATTAGTTTATATGTAAAAATACTTGAAATTAAAGTATTTTGTCAACAAAAAAATACAGTGTTCGTTTAACAGTTGACCCCTGCATAAATAAATATGAAGAAAACTTGCAGTTACTTTAAGGATTATGATTTCTAATTAGTAAAGGAGAAAGTATCCTTTTTTAGATTGGTCGGTTTCTGACAAAATTTTGTCACTTAACTTTTGATGCTCATTAAAAATAAGACTTTCATTAGATGTACGCATCATTAAGCAGGGAAATTAACATTTCTGCAGGCGCCTACCCTAAGACAAAAAAGGGTGAACATCAGGGTATGTTTAATGAGAAGATTTCATCCCCTTTATTTTGCAGAAAATGAACATTTCACTAACAAATTCTCAAACATAAAATACTCCATCAATTGTTGAATTTACTTTTTAATTTCTTCCACCAGATTATACAGATTTCACCCGAATTTCATGGCCCTCAAAGCTAAAAATAAAGAATTTCCCCCTTTAAACTTTATAGTCAGTAAAATACAAATCTACTTTCCCCGACGGGCGGTATTTAAATACTCCATCCCAACTGAAAGTAGTTAAATCATCCACCTTGACTGGAGATAATAAAGTAACTTCTACACTTCATAAACTTTTTTATTGCAAAATACGACTTCAAAAAAATCCATACTTAATTACCTCACAGGTACTGTGTCGTAACTCTATCAAGACTTCTTCAGGGTATAAAAAACAAAATGTGTGCTGGGACGCATAGTAGACGTGAAACTTGAACGGACAAGTGGAAAAACGAATTGCAACAAAATTTTTACTTCAAGTTTTACGGGCAGGTTTTCAAATTGGACAAGTACATTAACAATCTGCCCGTATAACTTGAAATAAAAATTTTGTTGCGATTCGTTTTTCCACTTGCCCGTTGCCATTCGTTTTTCCACTTGTCCGTTGAAGTTTTACTTCTACTATGTGTCCCAACACACATTTCGTTTTCACAGGTTTACTGCAAATTATGATTTGGTTGTTACACAGACCACAATTAAAGGCAATGATGCGCAGCCACTTGGAGAGCAAAGGTAAGAAAACAACAGCTGAGCACAGCACATGCCGCCGGGACTCTAGCGGACAGCCCGCTCTCCGCGCGGCTGCGCATTATATCCATCTAATACAACCGTTGCCCCCTCTCTTTTTCGTGACAGAAAAAATCGTAATACCCCATCTATATAGAAGTTTCACTTCAAAAAGTTTAGACTCTAATGTCTAGTAAATGCGTGTAGAATTTCACGACAGAGGCAGACAAGTTCAAAGTCGTGTGTGTCAAAAAATTTGTGAAAATATTATCAGAAAAATGTCGTAAACCAAGATAAATATATATTGAACACACTATACGTTATGAACAACAACATATCTCTCTTTTTAGTGTGACATAGTTCTTTGCAAGGGCCGTTGCTCTCCGTCTTCCTGCGACTCTTCTTCCGTAGCTGTCAAAGGTGCTGACAACGAGGAAGGCGTCGTGATGGCTGCAACAAGTGTGTTCGTCCTCGATCCTTCGGAAGCCTTCTTGGCGTCCCAGGAAGTGTGCGAAGAAAAGATCCATCCTTCCTGGCTCCTGTGGCTGTGTATTGCTTTAGGTGTATTATTACTTATTATGCTCCTTATTAACATCTTCCTGTGCTCAGCGATGACTTGCGCGTGCGCAAGGACAGAAATAATCGAGAAGGAACCGAGCATGATCGAAGACTACGATCCTTACAGGTCCTGGCACGGAAGTCAGTACGGATCAAGGTAAGCAACTGAAAATCCGTTTTAGAAAATTATACTATTGAAAAATAAGTTCTTGGTCACCATCAGTTTTCGAACTTATTAGTTCTCATCAGTACGTCACAAGCAGTTTCGGCTAACTATCAGTAGGTGGCGAAATCTGTTCATATCTTAATCTCGATTAATATCAAAATTAATCGATAAATCTAAAATCATTTACGTAAAAGTCTAAGTCCATAAAGTTAGACCAATTCTGTACAAAAATGATTGCAAAGAAAGAGTCCAATCTTTATTTGTAAGAAGTCTTGTAACATACTTGATACTAAAGATTCCTCCCGTATCTTTGGCATTAAAATGAAAAGTAGAATGTGGATTATTAACGTTGCTATATATTTCTTTCACATTAGTTACTGCAGAAACAAACTGAATCAAACAATATTCGGATTGTTATTATTTCTGCGTTGTTTATTTTCTACGAATTGGACTCTTTTTATTAGATCAATTAGTATGATTGACCGTGTCAAAATCGAAGGTCGTCTGAGATATTTTCCGCTCGAATGCACTCGAAAGACACAGTTACCGAATTGCGGAGACCACATTCTGTTGTATTTCAGGTACTCCCTAAATGGGGCACCCCAACACCCCAAAGGTTACACGTCCGGGGGTTCAACAATGAACTCCACGAGATCTATATCGTCTCACAGCGATCACTACGCAATCGTCCATTCTCGTCCAGCTAGTCGTTACAAACATGGACCACCGTCGCATATTGGGAGCCATTACAGTGGAAAATAAGTTTCTGTTTGACCTATTTTTTATTTTTTTTTTATTACTTAATCAATTAATTAAATTTACCTTCGCCAATTGGTTATAATCTCGCCTGAAATTGCTTAAGATTTACGCGGCTAATGACGACGCATTTTTTTTTTTTATTGCCATCACCACCGTAACTTTCTCCGTTTCTCTTATTATCCGCCTTTCTCCGAATATAGTCATTTATTTACGGTAAGATCAACGCTATTCAGGAAGAAGTTTAAAACCCTTCTTACACTTTAAGAATCTCATGAAAACATCATATGACAATTGATAAGGTTTAGGCACAATATTCGTCAAGTTTTTAACTTTTTTTTTCGTTGATAGCTTCAAATTATTTATTTATTTATTTATATATTTTTCGTTCAAACAAGACAAATTTAATTTGAGCTATTAACAAAAAAGGTCTACCTAATCATAAAAACAAAAAAATGTCTCATCAAACTTTGTTTTTTATGACATTGTGGATGGATATCAAAATTTGCTGTGTTTAAAACTTTTCCTGAAGGTCATAAAAGATGACGTGTTTAATCAACCTTACCTAGCCTAACCTAACCTCAATTTCATCGCAGTGCGAAAGGTAGGTAGGTACAAATGAAGGTTATTGAAACTGATTTACGATTAACGTTGGATTTACTATAGATAATTACATATTTTTAAAAACGAAACCGATTAGAATTATTTATTCTATTAGTGCAATAACGATCGAAACGATTTTGAATTAATAAAAGTGTTTACACTAGCAAATATTTTATAAAAATTTTAGAAGTATATTAATGTTACCTCCTCCTTAAATAGCTGCTAGTTACCTAATTTTTCGCCATATTTTTCAGTAAACAGAAAAAATTAAAATTTAAAGCCCATTTTATATAACCACTAAAGGTAAAAGTAACATATTTATTTACATTAGAATCACTGCCCACTAAATTAATGCGTTTCGTAAATTAAAATAAAAATAATCGTGACGTAAACTAAAAAATACACTCTGTTGACTTTTTTGTTAATAATTTGCATACAAATAATCAAAAACATAGCTGTATAAATTCATTAAAAAAAAAACCAGAAACAACTATTATTTTCAATTTATTGTTTCACTATTAATAGTGACCAGAGTTTTTCATTGTTTTGTTTCAAAAATTTGACAATGTTTTTTTTTTTATTAATGAATCGCCATGTCATTCGTGGCATAGGTACATACATGCATATAAATGTACGTGTAAATAAATTTAATTATACACCTCTATAAATAATTAAGCATGTAGAATTAATATATTTGAAAGT